TCTGTAGATTTTAAGTACGGAGTTTTCACAGATGACTTTTTTCTCCCCCCGTCTCGAAGCTGTTTTGGAAATTATTTCCCTCACCTTTTTGCGATTAAAGCTGTGCTACATTCTCATCTTCCGGAGCCAAATGGTTTTATAGTGTTGCCTTCCTGTATCTTGATCCTAAGTTACAGTAGACAGGTTTGGGCACGTGCAATCACTTAACCACAGAGATATTTCTTTTAATATGTCAACCTTGGATCTACATCAGAACCAATCCATAGATAGAAGACCTCTAACGTGACCTCTCTGACCTGTTCTATAGGCACCACGAAACTCTAAGTATCAGTGAAGTACAAGCAATTCACTGGTTCTTCAGGTTGGTTGGTGAATGACTGATTTGTGACTGTGAAGTCCTCAGACTGTCTGGGGCTTGTGAATGGCTTTCTTTAGCTTATATTTCATAATGTTTGAGGAAAGGGTCCTTTCCATCTCAGAATGCCTGATTCCCTCCCTGGATCCTGCTAAATCCAAATTAGTTGATGTTATTGTCTAAAACAAGATGTGGCCACGTTTAGCGTGGAACACAGGACAGAGAAAAAATGTAGTTTTCATTTTGACTTCAGTCACCTCTGTAATGTCTTGAAAGTGTTGTGACCTGCAAGGATGAAGAGTCTGCAGGAAGCCCCTTCTTTCTCCTTGCCAATTGTATATTTCCATCAGTGGTAGGATTGTGGATGACGGGAGTGAGGGCCCTTTGTCCCTGACACTCAAGAGCGCAGGATTAGTCAAGCACCCTTAAAAAAACACTTGTGTAGAGGTGAGGCTTGGACTTATACCCTCTTGGAGTTCTTTGCTCCAAATATCAAACTATTACTGGAAAAAATACCCCCAAGATTCTTTCCAGACCTATAAACTTATAAAGAGCTGTGGTTCTTACCTTGGCTTCCCATTGGAATCACCTGAGGTGCTTAAAACACATTGATGCCTGGATTTCACCCCAGAATTCTGATTTAATTGGTCTTGGGCAAGACTTTGGCACAGAAAATTTTAACATTTCCCCAGTTGATTCTAATGTAGATCCAAGGTTGACATATTAAAAATAATATCCGGTATCCATTGTTGAGACTAGGATATTATTTTTAAATACCCAAAAAGCTAGAACTCAAAATATGGCATAATACATTTTATTTTATAGCAACATTGCCATTTTGAGTACTTTTTCATATTAAAACAAACAGTCATAACAACTTTAAATAAACTCTTTAGAACAATATTTTTCAAAGTGTTAGTGGAGGATCACTTGGAAAACTTGTTAAATATGCAGTTTTGGAGCCTTCCCTTTAAGATTGATTTAGTACACTTTTGGTAAGTCAAACAATCTGGATTTAAAAAAGCACACCCAAGTAATTCTTGGGCATGTTAAATTTGTAGATAACTGCCTCAAAAGACATCAGGAAAAAGTTAAAACAGGTAGTCTAACAAGAGACACACCACTTGGTGGTCTTGCGATTCAGTATCGTAGAAAAATAATAAGGACTTCAAAGTACAGAGGAAATACAGATTTATACTTTCCTTATAAATTTTCTAGCAGTCTTTGAAATACAAATTACATATCAGCAACAGTAAGAATTTTTGAAAAAAATCTATAAACCCCTTGCATTAGTGCAAATGTCTATTTAAAAATGTAAGCTTAAAAAGTATTATATTAATATAATAACGCATTCTTTAGTGAATAAAAAGATGTGAAAGAATTCATGACTGCTATCATGTTTTAAAAAATGCCTAGAATGCCTTTCAATTTAGGTTTAAAAATCAATCTTTGATGTACTCCTGTTTTAAAAGATTAGACAAAAATTTAAGGCATCCAGTTATGTTGAGCACATTTAAGTACACTCAGGATAATAAACTCTTTTAGGTTTTAGGACAAGCTTACATTTTAGTTTAAAACCAAAAAACTCTTCTATCTAGCTTAAACTTCAGTGGGAATTTAGAGAAAGAAAATGAATTACTCAAGCTGGAACTACATCAAAATGTTAAGTTAACACATTTTGGCTTGTCATGGTGCCAAGGGATCCAAAGTCTGAATAATCAGGGCCGTAGTTTCCAAATCATTTTAAAGATAATGTCCTTACCAGGATGCTGGAGCTTCCATTTTATTTTTTCTTAGTTATTTCTTATCTACTTCTTAACCCCAAGCTAACCCAAACCTTACAAGATCACATTGCAATGACTCAAAACAGCTGCCAAGAAGCAGCTGCAAATAAAAATGTTAGCACAGTAGTTCACAAATTCAGAAAAACTATTTTTTTAAAATTAAGACTAGTAATTTTCCCATGGAAGTCAACGATGCATTTGACTTTCTTTAGTTTTTTCTTGGGCTTTTGAAGGTTGAGTAACTGATTTGATATCTGAGATAGTATAACCAAGGAAGAACATCGTGGGCTGTGGTTGTCACTGTCCGTCTTAGAAATTTTCCTGCTGGTCCCCTTGTAACAATTGTTCCTTGCACAGTAGCACAGCACCATGACTCTCAAACCCAATTCCTGGTCACAGGGGTGGGTTTATAACCTGAAATAGCCTAATCATAGTACCTATTTATATTACAGGTGGTCCTATTTATATGACAGGTTGACTGTATCACGCAAGCTTTTAGAATCATTTCTAGGGTCTCTTAGTCTTGAAAGAGAAGCCACTCAGCTGTGCGTGCAGGATACAGTAAAAGATGAGGCTTTCCTCCCATTTGGAGAAATCCCGTCTGCAGTGAGACAGCATGGAGCAGAGATAGGCAGAAACTAGGGGGTGGATATGGAGCATCCTTGGGGCATTGGATCTCGGTTCTAATTCTTGAAGCCTTGGTTCCTGCAATTTTCTTTGATTCTGTGAGCTCTTCTCTAACATCTTTTCTCAATACAGGAACTAAGAAATCCCCCTTCTGGAGTAAGTCACTTTGAATTGGGTTTCTGACATTTGCAACCAAAATTCTAACATAGAATGTGAGATGAATTAGTCTTACCCATCATTTTACAGATGAGACAGTAGAGATTAACTTGTCCAAGGGCACACATTATAATCCAGTTCACCTTTCTTTGCTCTTCAATCTATTGGCATGCTTTCCCTCAACAAAAAGTTGAAACTTTTGAGAGTTAGTGAGTCTACATGTGGTTAGTAACCCCTACTACATTCATACTTGTTCCCAAGTAGATTTGCAACTGGGTAAACCAGAGTCAGTTCTGAGTTGAAAATACACACTCCCAGAACCTGGGGCTACAAGGTTCTGTGGCACCTTGTAGCTACACTGATAATTGCTCCACTGGAGAGGTATCTCCTTTGGAACCAAGGCTAAAAGGATGCAATTTTCTCTAACAGTTGAGTTTGTGGCACCTTGAATGAACTAAGCAATTGAGTGTGATAATTAAAACAACAGAAACAGTAGGTCAAAACATTTTTATAACTGTTTTAGAAGTTGTCAATACCAAACAGAACACCAAACAGAAACCGTAGGTTAAAACCTTTTTGTAACTGTTTTAGAAGTTGTCAATACCAGAACACTAAATTCATGAGAGTAACTGGCAAAAGCGCGCTCAATTCACAATAGCAATCACTGTGCAAAGAAGATATTATGTAGTGTAAAACTGCAAAAATCCTACATGTCCAAATAAACTACAATATACTTAAATACCACGGAATATTGTGGTAAGTTGGATTATTGGTCCTAATTCTTCTTTTCAGTTTCATACACCTTTTCCTTTTGCCTGGTAACTCCAAAGAGCTTCCCCTGTTGGCAGGGCCAGCTGCTCATCTAACAGCGGGCTTGCTCAGAGCTGCTCTGACTGACACACACAGTAAGAAGCTCTAAAGATGCCTGCATGGCTTCTCTTGTTTTCTTGTGCTCTGCCAAGTGTTAGAGGTAGGAATCTGCATAATTGACAATGGAGTTCTGCCGATTTTTTGAACAGTCAACATTCACTGGTTTAACAAAACTTAAAAGGTACAAAAGGGTGTATGATGACAAGTCAGCCTTCTTAATTCTGATCCTCAACTACCCAGTTCCCTTCCCAGAGGAGGCCAGTTACCAGTTTCATGTGTAACCTTCCAGAGAAACTTTATCCATATACAAGAGAAGTCAAAAAGTAGTATTTTTCATACAACCAGAACTCAGGCCAGATAGGTGAAGCCTTCTGAATCTGGTTGGAAAAATCCTTTCTGACCAGACTGCAAATCTCTTATTTGAGGATGTATTATTTATAATTTGAAAGACCAGTTCCCATGGGGTGATCTATAAAGAATTTACTGTAGACCAAAAAAATGCACTTGTCATGTGGAACTCTCTCAATTTTAAGGCTCCTAAAAATGTTCTGTTTCTGAAACACAAGCCTGATTACTTTAAGATGTATCTGAAGAATAGGTGATTGCTTCTTGGGCTGAAGTAGTAGATAAGCACGTAGGTGAGACTCAGTTTGTGTCATCCTCAAATCACTTATTTCTCTCCTTGAGATCATTTCAATTAAGACCAGAACTTGAAGACCATGATGGAAGTAATTTTTATCTTCTTTTAGCACCACGCACAGTTAACCATTTTCTCATTTTAACTGTTTTGGGGCTAAAACTGATTTTAAAAAAACTAAGCTTAAATGGTAACTTTATGATTTTAATTTTAATTTGTCCCCCAAATTAATGTAGTGTAAACCTACACTGTAGTTGATGTTTTTATCTGCAGAAATATTTAAATCTTTTTCTTCTACCTCAGTCAGTGGTTCTCAACCTTCCTAATGCCTCCTAATGCCCTGACCCTTTAACAGAGTTCCTCATGTTGTGGTGACCCCCAACCATAAAATTATTTTCGTTGCTACTTCATAACTGTAGCAACTGTAGCAGTTTTGCTACTGTTATGAATGGTAATGTAAATATTTGATATGCAGGATGTATTTTTATTGTTAAAAGAGGTCGCGACCCACGGGTTGAGAACCACTGTTCTAAATAGTAAGGGAAATGAATAAAACCATTGACCAAATTTAAAAATGTATTTACAAAACTTTACTTTGCTCTTAGAAAAGGTTATTTAATTCATACAGAGTAACCAAAACACAAACCCTATCGAACTTTATTACAATAATCTTTCATAAGACTGATGGCATTAAAAAAAAATGAATACTTCAATGCAAAACCATAATGTAAAAGTAGGACTTGAGTTGTGACTAAAATACAGGCAGATAAATAATCTTCTTCAAAGGGAAATTATACTTGAGGGAAAAACCAATGGTATAACATGTGTAATGCAGGAAATTTAAATATCAGTTTAGTTCCTCATTGCCAACATGGCATTTATATCCCAGATGAGATTTCGTAATTGATCCATAATTTGCTTCAGCTGTTGATTCTTCTGTTTGAGTTTCTGTGGAAAGAAAGGAATTTATCAAAAATGTTTCATGAAATATAGACAAGGTAAAAAATTAAACTGTCATAAATTAGGATTCTAATGTCCAAATTGAAATTAAGCTAAATATTCCTTCCTATAAGGCAGATGTTCTCAGCCCCTTTCTGGCGTTAAATACTGATAAGCCTCCTGTACTCTAATTCACCCTGTGGAGGCCTGTAGCTCCAGATCCACGGCCCTGTTTACTCTCCCATTTAGACCATCATGGAAAGTAAGATAAACAGTTAAAACCTAAATATACAGGTTCTCCAAAGGGCAGAACAACACATAGCCAGACTCTTGGGATGCTCCAGATGCTCAATTCCTTCACCAATTAAGCAAATGTATGACACTGGTCAAACAATTGAGCCTCTCTGTGCCTCTGTTCTGCACCAGAAAAATGGAGATAATTATTGAACCTAACTCATAATAGTTGTTATGAAGATTAAATGATCCAATTTATGTACAGTGTTAGAACTGTGCCTGGCACATAAGCATTCAACAAATGCTACTGATAGACACAGAACATAAATATAGAAAACAAAGTAGAAGACAAATGCAGTCTCTGATGCAGTCAGTCTTTCAAAACTATGGCAGAAGTTGCCCTTTGCCCACAGGATGGAGCGCAATCTCCTCCTACATGTGAAAACTGAAGATAAAATGGCAGTGCCCATTGCAATATTCTTCCCAACTGAGATCTGCTGAATGGCTGGAATGGACATAGCACATATATCTTTACTTCTATACTTGGATTCTATTAGACTATGATTTATAAACTTTTTAAGAATCCATTCTTCCAGCTTGGTGCCTGTGGCTCAAGTGGCTAAGGCGCCAGCCACATACAAGGTGGCTGGTGAGGTGGTGGGTGTGAATCCAGCCCGGGCCTGCCAAACAACAATGATGGCTGCAATCAAAAAATAGCCAGGCGTTGTAACGGGCACCTGTGGTCCCAGCTACTTGGGAGGCGGAGGCAGGAGACTTGCTTGAGCCCAGGAGTTGGAGGTTGCTGTGAGGTTGCCACAGCACTCTACCCAGGGGGACAGCTCGAGGCTCTGTCTCAAAAAAAAGAATCCACTCTTCCAATCCATGTCCCTATTTGCCGTATGTGGTAAATGCTTAGATAAAAATAGGTAGCTTCTGGGTAGAATGTTAACCAGTTATTATAATAATAATTATGATTCAGTAACCCTTTGCAAACATTACATTTGGATATAATATATTTAATTAGATACTTTTACATATACAATATTTAACTACCTCCAGACAAATTAGGGTATGTTCATTAGAAAGAGGCCTAAAAAATCTTAATTTCAATTTCATTATAAAGCAAACTAAAATTAAGTAAGTTGCTTATATTAATTACTTCTACCTAGAGTTAAGAAAAGTTAACAGGAAGTAGGTGGCTAAAAGAGAAGACCAAGGAATCTTTTTTGGAAAACAGAAAATTAATTTACAGAGACTTTAATAATCTTTAATAGTATTAATTAAATTCATATTTGAAAGAAGAATTAACATGGATAAAATACATAACTAGATGTTACACAAGGCTTGACTCTAAAGCTCACTTGAACATAGTCTTTGGAAAATACTGTCAGTATTTTTAGTTACTTGGTCTCCTTGTTCAGTTTTCAGATGACCCATCTTCTAAATTCTGTCACCATGAGTATCCAGCAGTTATTTAAGCACGCATGTATATTACATAACAAAATCAACTCAAATCGCAGGGAGGAATAGGAACAACCAAGCCTATAAAGTCTTCATCACAGAGACCAAGAAACTGACACTTCTGCCAGCAAGCAAGGGTAGCAACAAAACCCAAGCATGAGGACTGACGCTGTATGGGGGAAGCCGGCAATCCCAGCCCCAGTTCTCATTTGATCTTAGACAAACTCCATCTTCTCAGTGCTCTCTCGGCTATGTAATGTAATCACATAATCTAAGGTCCCTGCAGGTATTGTACTTTCTGCACACCCATACGTAGTATCACATCAGTAACACACACAAGTGATTGGAAACCAGTAAATTCCATTTTGTAAACTAACTGATGGCCTCAAAATGGGTCAAACTTGGCTGCTCTTCACTTCACTGAAGTCTATAGCCCACAACTAACCTAGTAGCATTAGCTGTGAAATGTCAGCTACCTCGATTACCCTCTCATTTCTAATTTTTTAGCAGGAATATGGAGAAAAGCAACTGAGTAAGAATAAAAGGAAGAGAAAGAATGTAAACTGATGGAAAATAACCCCATTTACAAGTTTTGACATATCCTGAATATGATAGCTTTCAATCAGAATGAGGACAGGACCCAAATGACAAGGCTACACCCTCTGTAAGGCAGATGGCACAAGGAAACATCAGTTACCGTGGAACCCTCCAAGCTAGACACTGCCTCTGACAGGAAAGGTCAGCAAACAAAGAAAATATTTTTGTCTGGTGTCTAGAAAAGATGGCAGTGAGCAAAAACTGTAGGGAGGATGAAACTGTGATGAAAAAAGTCTAACTGCGCAAGTGTGTGGGATGGATTCGCCAAAACCCATACCCATGAAAAAGAAAAAAGAGGAAAGATTTAACAGACAGCTGAAAACCTTCTGAAGGCCAAATCTGGTATATAAGGTCAGTGATCACATTTTTAGTAAAAATTAAAAAGTAATTTATTAGTAATAAAATTATACTTCTGGGTGGTATTTCAACACAGGGCTTACAGATGGCTCCCACGACGGTTTCACCACGGAAATAAATGCACAGCCTGCCATAAGACTCCTTTCAAAAATACTCATTTGGAAATGTAACTTCTAACATACTTGTGTTTTTAAAAAGCTTCATTATGACTTAAAAAATAAAGTAAGACCTAAAAAACATAGGGTATTTTCAAAATAATTTACCACTCTAGGCAATAATAAAACTTTTTAAAAGAATATTCTCTCAAAGATGCCACAAGTTTTAAATTAAAAAAAATAGCACACAAGTAAAACATCTAGAGTCAAAACACGCCATGAAACCATCAACAGCAAAGCTGACAGTTATACTTGTTAGTGGTTAAATTGTAAATAAATTTTCATGACATGATATAGAATTTAATATGTACAATCTTGCCACTGATGGATTTTAACAGAGGTTGACAGCTGCTATTTTCAAAATCCATCAGCTGTGCCTAATTTGTTACATTAACAGGTGAATGTATAAGTAGAATAGATACTTAAAAAGTAAGTTTATGCTGTCACACCATGTAATTTAATATTCATACAAAGGCTGTGACATTTGATCAAAAATGCTTTAATTTCTAACTCCATGGACTCAATTATGTTAACCATGTAAATATTATCTGCTACCTTCTTCAATTTCATTTTAACAATAGAATAGCTTTAAGCAAAATAAAACTCATTCTAATGACCCTAAAGCATATAGCTTCCAACAAGAATGCACCCTTTACTTGGGTGTTAAGAGTTTACAGATTCTAAGATATATGAAGAGAAAATGAAAGGTATTTAGATAAGACAAAAATAGGACTATTAAAACTAAGCCATTTTGTTATATGACGATTTACATTAAATACTGACTCCAAATTGTGTACCTCAAAGTTTCATGGCACCATGGTAGGCACTGGTGGTACATGCATTGTCAGAAACCAAACAGACTATAAAAACTAAATATAGTATACAGTAAACACACCATCAATACGTTCTGTACAATCTCAGTTATCCAATGACATAGTATTAATATTCTGAAAATGACTAAGTGAGGGTCCACGAAGGGGTATGTAAATCTACTTCCTTTATGTAGCTTATTCACAATAAAAAGAAAATATGCATTGCAATAAAATTCTGAATACTTTAAATTGAATGCAAAAAAATGTCATTTTATTATTGACTGATTTATAGATTGGTAGATCTGTTGACTTACAGATCCATAAAGCAGCTCAGTCATTTAGTACAATGAAATGCAATGTATTGAAAATATGGTACAATATTTTTATTTCTGTAAATATCCATCAAACCTGAAATGTATACGTGAAACAGGCACTGTTTTGTCTTTGTTGGAGAGTCTTACATTCTCCAAGAAGAAACCTGTCCTCTCATCTGAAATAACCATGATTGTACACAACACAGCTGGCTGGTTCACTAACTACTTAGGGCAACACCCAACACAGAGCAGGCAAACTAATAGTTGAATGTTCAAAGGAAAAATAACAAAAGCCCAATTAAAAAGCTTCCCCCCCAAACCCTAAAACAATGGAAAAAACAAACATGCAAACAAAATCCTTGGCAATTACTTGAAAACTTATTTTTTGTTTGTTTAAATATTCCCTTTTAGTATCCAACAAAACCTATATGACTATTACTAAAAATTACTCATTTTTAGATTCTATATAATTAGGTTAGGACATTTTATCCTCTAATTAACTATTTGAAACAAATACAGTTTTTGCTGTGAGAAACACTCGCCCATGTGTGTGCTCATGTCAATGTATCATGAGCTTAATACTTAAAAAATTTTAATTGTTTAGTTTAATCTTATATTCTAGAATGGAGATTCACGGTTTTGAAGAAGTTGGAGAAAAAGATAAAACACATTAGTAATGTTAACTATACATAAGGTTACTCTTTTAGCAGTCAGAATATATGTTATGCTCAATTCACAGCTATAACATTTTTTTAAGGAACAAATTAAAAACCCCCTTTAGTCAGAAAACACAGTTTGCTTGCTTTTTAGCCGTTAATGTTATACTCCTCTTCCTTCTTTAAAGGGATTTTAAATCTAAGTCAGCCAAATATTAGTCCTCTCCCATCTTTTACCACTCCTCACAACCTTATTCTCTAGTGCTTTCCAAAATATAGGAAGAATTCTCACAAAGTAAGAGTTATGAGGCCCTCAAATGAGTACTTCCCATGACACTCCTGAGCAGATTCTCCTTCTCTAAACTGTCTTTTAAAACACAATTCCCAAAGAAACGTGGCACTTAGCTTTAAAGCCGGTTAATT